GTGGTGGTGGTTGTAGTGCCAGAGGGAGAGAGAGAATCTTAAGCAGGCTCTGTGGCCAGTGCAGAGTCCGACATGGGGCTTGAACTCACAACCCTGAGATCATGACCTGAGCTGAAATCAAGAGTCGGATGCTTAACCAACTGAGCCACCCAGGTGCTCCCCAAAATTAAGTTTCAAAACAAAAAGAACGTTGATATTTTATTTTGCAGTATTTTTGAAAAATATACTGTTTGCATAGGCAAGAAGAATGGAAGGATACTACTATTCCTGTGGATCAATGCAGTGTTTTAATAGACAAACACTAGAATGTTTTTCTAGCATTTGTAAAATGAATATACTCTGAAAGAGCTCATTTTACTACATCAGAGAAAACTGCTTTTAAAACTTTGGCTGCACTTCTGTCTTTTGTAGTCTGTTACTGTTGTTTGATAATGTTATCAGAAAATTTATTTAGTGCTACTGTGGTTAAGCCCTTTGACCATCAGTTTACTAATCCATAAAATGGGGCCAACAAAACCTATCTTATAAAGGTCTTGTATGGGTTAAGTGAGATTTTATATGAAAGCACCTGTAACATTTTTTGACACAAAGTAGGAATTAAGCAAGTGTTACTTAATATATTATTATTTTTCCCATGTAAGGGAAATAAGCATGCTTTTGCATAATCATTTTAGTGAAGAACTTGAACAAGATAAAAACAGTGGCACTTTAAATATCTTTGCTCAGTTTTTTAAAATGCTTGTCTTTAAAAGTTTTGTATTAACTAATACTGGAACAACTTTGACACCTTTTGTCATTCGCTTCTGTGGAAGAGTGATTCAGGGTGAGTGAGTGTCTGACCAGGGCACTGTGAAGTCCCGTTAATGTAGCAGTGGATCCTTTGGAACCTTGTTTATGCTGTTGTCAGTTTCTGATTGGCTCAGCCTCACCCATGTTTTGACTTATGCTAGTTTGCTTTCCAAGCTATTCCCAGGATGGCTAAATTAGAAGAGTCACGAGTAGAAGCTTCTCAGTTATTCCCATTCACTGGTGAGGTGAGGTGGGAATGTGGATGAGAGCACAAAGTGTTTTGGGATTGACCGCAACACAGGATTTTAATTAAATTTGTTTTACTATTTTTATTAAAAAGAGGATTTTACTAGTATGGTATATGGCTTTTAAATGGTAATCTTTAAAAAAGATGTGTTAAGTCTGTGCTGTAGCGTTGAGGTATAAAGCACATATAACTTTTGTTTAAAGTAATTCCAGCATTTAAATCAAATTTTTATTGTTACAATTCACAATTTGTAGTGTATTTTTCCAAAATGAGTTACTTCAGATTATTCCACCTCAATTGCTTAGTGAGAGATTATAGTAATACTCATTTTAATCTTGGTTTGTGAGGAGATAAATGAACGAAGCATCACTCAGGATATATCACTCAGGGTTCAGATAGATCAATTTTAAAGTCCATCCCTTAAAAAAAATCTTCTCATTTGGATTTATTTTATAGTCATGTCTTGTGGTTTAGTGTAGCTTTTAAACTATTTGTGGACCAGACTTACTTAAATTAGTAATGAATAGAATAACTTGAATAAGTTGTACTTCACTAAGTAATTTGATATATTTAAAATTCTACTCTTTTGCCAGGTTTTTATTATGATTAATATAGATCCTATCATTTTTATATCTAAATTAATGCCTCTGTAAATAAGTCCTAAGGGATTACCTTAAAATTATTTTAGTAGGTCATAGTTCTAATCTAGATTATGTTCATTAACTAGTTTTTGACTTATACTATTTTATTTAACAGAGCTGATACTAGTCTTTCTCAGTCCTTAATATGTGAAGTGATAAATGAGATTTTTACATTCCTAATTAGTGTTTTTTTAGTAAATCGTCATCCTACATTAAAAAATAATGTCAATCACTCTCTTAAAGAGGCCTGTTAGAGATGACAAGTTACAGTTCATTTTCATAACCTATTTATTCAAGTTGTTGTTGCACACTAGCAGGTTGATAGGTATTGACCATGATGAGCTATTATATAGTGGTATCTGTAGCTTCATTACTATGTCTTGGCTGACAGAAATACTTATTTCCACATATGTGCTCTTCAGGGTCCTAGGTTCTCCTCTAATATGGTAGTCTTAAGGGGAGACTTGTAATCTAATAAACTAAATATTTTTGAGGAGATCAAACAGCAGGTGTGAGAGGTGCCTTTTATTTATTTTTTTAAAGATTTTTTTATTCATTCAGAGAGAGAGAGAGACAGAGACACAGGCAGAGGGAGAAGCAGGCTCCATGCAGGGAGCCCTATGTGGGACTCCATCCCTGGTCTCCAGGATCACACCCCAGGCTGCAGGCGGCGCTAAACCGCTGCGCCACTGGTGCTGCCCGAGAGGTGCCTTTTAATACCAAGTGATTACAGGGGCTGTTTGCTCCAAAATAAATAGTTTACCCTGAAATTATTTTAGTTTACACTGCAGTAGGCTTTCTTAGGATAGATATTTTGTTGGTAGAAGACACTTAAAGTGTGATGCTGCCAGGAATGTATTCTGTATGATTTAGTCCCTTGGGATTTGATATCATGCTTTTCTTTATAGATTTCTTTGTAGTGGATTATTTTACTTTTTAATTTGAATTTGGTCTTTTTTGTGACTAGATAATAACTACACATACTACAAAATTCAATGGATAAACATTGAAAAGTCCTTCTCATATCTCTGTGTCCCTCAGGCTCTGTGGAGACAACCAGGGTTGAAATTAAGAATTTTATTTTATTTTTGTTTTATTTTTATTTTTTAAGAATTTTATTTTTGTTTGGAACTTCTGTTCCTTTTACATATCTTGAACTGTTGTTTTCTGTTTTTGTAAGGATACATGAAATCATGTAAGAGCTTAATTACATGATAAGCATTAAGGAGATAATAACAGTGATTTGGGGAGCTATATAGCAAAGTACATTCAATTAAGGTTTCAAATAAAGTAAATTTCTTTATAGTGATAGTAAAAAAAGATTTTTTTTTCATTGAGATGTCTAGGTGTGTGTTGAGGAATTATAAATCTCATGCCAGTTTTTTGAGGGAAGATCATTAATCAGATATATAAAAATATCTCGTTGCTTTTAATGACTCTTTTGTTAATGAAGTTGAGCATCTTGTCTTGTGTTTATAGGCTTATTTCTTTTTCCGTAAATAGTATGTTTATGTCCCACCTGTTTTTCTACATTATTATTCATCATTTTCTGATTGATTTGTAAAGCACTTATTGTTCCTTTCATTTTTAGATAGGGTAGGGGGAAATCTGCCTATTATCATGTCTGTTGAACTAATTTGATCCATTTTTCATGACTTTTAGACAGGTTTTATAGAACAGTCAGAAAAACCTAATAGGAAGTTTGGTTTGAAGAGATGACATTTCATCTAGAACCCAAGATATCTCTTGGGAAGGGAACCGTGATGCAGTGATCCTGGACAGGGGAGCAGCAAGTATAAAGCTGCACCTATGGTACAGTTGAGGAACAGCAAGGAGACCAGTGTGGCTGAGTTGTGGTGGTGAAGAGAGAGTGGGAGAACAAGAAGACTTAGACGTAGGCAGATCATTGAGGCCTTTGGAAATCAGAGCTTGGTATTGGACCTTACTTAGTCCAAGTTTGTGGAGAGCCATTGGAGGATTTTGAGCAGGAACCGAATTGTTCACTCTTGCCTTGATGCGAAGAGTGGACTGGGGGCCCAGAGATGCCTCAGGAAAACCAGTCAGCAGCCCACTGCAAGAGTCCAGGTTAGACATGATACTAGTCCAGGTTAGTCCTGAGACAGAAGGAAGAAGTGGAGATAGAGCATGGGAGAGGATTATGATGGGGGAGAGTGGGCAGAGCTCACGGAGGGGATTTCAGCTCTGCAAATGTTGTTTTAGGGTGTATATTTTAAATTTGTAGTATTTGTTATTTTTATAATAAGCTTTATTGGAATACAATTCACATACCATACAATTCATCCAATTAAAAAGTACAATTCAGTAATTTATAGTGTACTCACAGAGCCGTGTGGTCATTGCCACAGGTAATTTGAGAACATTTCCATCACTGTAGAGAGAAACATGGTACTGTGAGCATTCACTCCCCACCTTGCGCCAGCTCCAGAGAAGCACCAGTCTACTTTCTGCCTCTGGATTTGCCTGTTTGGGACATTTCATATCAGGGGGACCATACACTGTGTGGTCCTTTGTGACTGGCTCTTTTCACTCAACACGCTGTTCTCGGGGATTAGCCGTGTTGTAGCTCATATCAGTACTGTGTACCTTCCTACCTGTCTGAATAGTGCTTGCTGTGTGGATATAGTACATTTTGTTAATCTAGTCGTTTGTTGCTGGATATTTGGGTTGTCTTTATTTGGAGTGTTATGGATAATGTTGCAAGATACATTTTTATATGTTTACTTTTAAACACAGAATGTATTTTAAAATCTCTCTTTCAGGGGCACCCTGTTTTTTGTCTTATAGATTCAGTATCACCTCAGATCTTTTTAAGTATACTAATTATATTTTAAAAAATTCTCTTATTTCTTGCTAGCATCTGGGTCATTTGGTTTTTCATTTTGTTCCATTGATTTCTAGTTTGATGCGTTTCTTCAAATGATGATTTCTGTTTCCTTATTCATTCATGCTTAAATTAAGGAAATGGTAAATAGTTGGACCATGTCTCCTCTTCACTTCTACTTCTGCAGAAGGTCTCTCCCCAAGTGAGCTTGTCTGACTCTGACATTAACTTTCTATTTACTGCACGTTCCTTACTCTCTGTACCCACTTTTATGGCATTGCTTAATCATAATTGTCTTCTTCATAACTAGAGATTTTAAAAGCAGAAGTCATATCTGCTCTTAAAAAATTTCTCAAAATTTCCTTTGGTACATCCATCTTCTGCACAGTGCTTTACAAAGAATAAATAATAAATGTTGGTTAAATTTCATATCCCATTTAATTAGCATGTGTTAAAAATGTGTGTATTTTTTTTTTTCTAGAGGCGTGGAGCTATTTCCTATGACAGTTCTGACCAGACTGCGTTGTACATTCGTATGCTAGGTAAGCAGTATTTATTTTGTACCAAAATCCATTAATTTTATTATCACATAGTGTTAACTTGGGATTGAGATCATTTTCATTCGGTTGCTCTTCATCACTGTTTGCAATAGGAAATAATCAATAATTTTGAAATTAGAAGTCTTGAAACCAATATTGAATGTAATATGAATAAAGACAGGTATTTTAGAGTAATTGAGAAATCTCCAGCTTGATAACTGGGACTCTGTCATAAGTGTACAATTTTAAATTGAATTCTGAGTATTCTTCATAAAAATTATTTTAGATTTGTAGAGTTGATAAAATACTAAAAAGATGTCCATGCTAACTAACATAGAGTAAGATGAAGCCATAAAATACCTGACCATATAGTCCTGTCACTGGATGTATTAATTGCTCTCACTTGTCTGGCAAGGAAGACTGTTTGTCGTCTTCCAGTCTCAGTTCTTAAATTTTTCACGTATTATTCAAGTCCATAAGGTAAAATGAATTTAGATTGTGTATACATGTATAATTTTCTTTCTCTTCTCCCTCTCTTTGCCAGATTTCTCTCCTCATCACGTACTCCTCAACCCCGTGAACTTTAAATCATACTATTAAAGATGTACAATTAAGATTCCAATAGGCAGATTTACTTCTCTTTTTTTAAAGGAGTCTTCTGTGACTTCTTTCATGCTCGGAATTCCTCCCTCAACTTCTAAGATTTTGAGCCATCCATAGTCTTTACCTTTCTCTGGTGTTTAGTTTGTTTTTGCCTCTTTGACTAATTCTTATTCATCTTCTTAAGCCCAAGTGTTCTCCTGTGCCCCATTTTTGCTCTTCTTCCTTTCTTCCCTCTTTAATTTACCTTGTGTGTCTGTCTCAGCTCCATTCTTCTCTGGTACGATTTTTTCCCCAATAGGGTGTGGTCTTTTCCTCTCTCTCTTTTTTTTTTTTTGGTGGAGGATGCGGGCATCGAGGTCCAAAGTTTCCTCTTTACTATCTATGTCTCTCTCGACAAATGTATTTGAGATTCTGCTCTCCTGAAAACAGAACTTTATTTTTTTGTAAATTTATTTTTTATTGGTGTGCAATTTGCCAATATATAGAATAACACCCAGTGCTCATCCCATCAAGTGCCCCCCTCAGTGCCCGTCACCCAGTTACCCCCACCCCCTGCCCACCTCCCCTTCCCCCACCCCTAGTTTATTTCCCAGAGTTAGGAGTCTCTCATGTCTGTCTCCCTTTCTGATATTTCCCACTCATTTTTTCTCCTTTCCCCTTTATTCCCTGTCACTATTTTTTATATTCCCCAAATGAATGAGACCATACAATGTTTGTCCTCCGATTGACTTACTTCACTCAGCATAATACCTTCCAGTTCCATCCACGTTGAAGCAAATGGTGGGTATTTGTCGTTTCTAATGGCTGAGTAATATTCCATTGTATACATAAACCACATCATCTTTATCCATTCTTCTTTCGATGGGCACCGAGGCTCCTTCCACAGTTTAGCTATTGTGGACATTGCTGCTATAAACACTGGGGTGCAGGTGTCCCGGCGTTTCATTGCATTTGTATCTTTGGGGTAAATCCCCAGCAGTGCAATTGCTGGGTCGTAGGGCAGGTCTATTTTTAACTCTTTGAGGAACCTCCACACAGTTTTCCAGAGTGGCTGCACCAGTTCACATTCCCACCAAGAGTGCAGGAGGGTTTCCCTTTCTCCACATCCTCTCCAACATTTGTGGTTTCCTGCCTTGTTAATTTTCCCCATTCTCACTGGTCTGAAGTGGTATCTCATTGTGGTTTTGATTTGTATTTCCCTGATGGCAAGTGATGCGGAGCATTTTCTCATGTGCTTGTGAAAACAGAACTTTAAACTCATATATTTTTTTAACTCTATAGAACATCTCCATATAAATGTATTATGGGCACCTCACATTTAATCAAGCAGAGGCACATAGGTAGAGGCAGGGAGGCAAGCTAAGAAGCAAATACAGGAACAAAACTTATGTGTTCCCAAGGCTCTTCATTTTTCAGTCTTTTGCCATCTCAGGGCACGTAACTCTCCATTCTTCTGGTTGTCAGATCAGAAACTTACAGATCTTTTTGATTCTTATTTTTGGTCTACTCCATGTTTGCTTCATCAGCACATTCTCTTGGCTGATACCTTCAGAGTATATCCAGAATTTCACCACCCTCATGCCGTTACTACCAAGATCTAAGCCACGTTATTTTGTGTTTGTTGTTGTTAATTTATTTTGTTAATTATAGTCGCATTGTTGTACATTAGATCTCCAGAACTTATCCTGCATAACTGACACTTGTTTCCCCTTGAACTTCGCCCCATGTCTGCCCCCCACCAAGCCATAGTTATTGTTTCATTTCTTGCACTCGCTTCTTAGCTACCTAAGAAGCTACCTACCTGCCTCTGCTTGATTAGTCTATGTGGCCAAAGTGAACCTTTTGAAACATAAGTTAAATCAGTCTCACTCCTCCATTCAGAATCTTTTGATGGTTTTCTGTCTTAGATGAATGGCCAGAGCTATCATGATGGTCCACGAAGGTCCATCATCAAGTGGCCCTCTCTGACCTTACTTCTCCCTCACCTCACTCTAGCCATACTGGCCTCTGCTTGACGTTGAACATGGCTAGCATGCCCTCCATCTCAGGGTATTTTATTGGTTCTTTCTTTTGCCCAGAAACCTCTTCCTCCAGATAGCCACATGGCTCACTGCCTCACTTCTTTCAGGCCTCTGCTCAGATGCCTCTTTTTCAGTAAGGTCTTCTCTGACCATGCTACTGCGTCTGTCCTCCTCTACTTCTCCCCCACCCATTCCTCTTTGCTTGCTTTAATTATCTCCTGGTTACTTATTACCATCTTCCATAGAATGAATTCTTTCTAAGATTTTGTTTATTTGACAGAGCACAAGCAGGGGGGAGCAGCAGAGGAAGAGGGAGAAGCAGGCTCCCAACTGAGCAGGGAGCCCAGTGTAGAGCTTGATCCCAGGACCCCAGGATCATGATCTGGGCTGAAGACAGATGCTTAACTGACTGAGCCACCCAGGCCTCCTCCATAGAATGAAATTCTTATTTGTATATTATTTGTCTCCATGAAATGATAAGCTTCATGCAGACAGGGACTTTATGTGTCTTGTTCACTGCTGTATTTGCAGTGCCTGATGTGTAGCGGGTGTTCAGTAAGAATTTGTTGCAGGGAAAAGGAAACCCCACATGAGAGAGTTGATAAATCATTGTGGAATGACACAAACCATGAAGGAGATGATGGCTTGCCTTAGAGAAACAAAATGTGAGCAAGAAGGCCTTGCAGAATTCAGGGGCACAGGGGTAGGGACTGAAGACCTAAAGGTTATGAACTTGGAGGCTCTGAGAGTATAGTGGGGAAAGTGCTGTCTTTGGAGTCCAAAGAGCTAGGTTTAAATCCTGACTCACCCTTTACACTAGCTTCATGGCACAGGCAGGCTACTTAACTTCTCAAAGTCTCTGATTCTTCATCTGTAAAATGGGGACTAAGATTCCTACTTCTCAGAGTTGCTTAGAGAGTTAAATAAAATAGTGCCTATAAGACACAAAAAGAATGTCTAGTACATGGTTGCAGTGGTTATTTTGTTATGTAGAGAAGTGATCTGAAATTCATATGAATACATGTAGAAACAATACTGGGCTTATAAAGGCCAAAGTTTAAGACCCAACTGAAGGCCATGTGTGTGTGTGTATACACACACACCCCCCCCCACACACAAAATCAGTGAGGAAAGAGAAGATCAATCAAATCGAACATTTAAGGCACAATCTTTTAACATTTTATTTTTCTGTACATTTATAAAATTGTGCTTGAGAATGGGTCATGTAATTTCTTTCATATTTCTGACAGTATGGTGCTAGGCACAGGGTAGACCCTTAATATCTTTCTCTCTGGATTTTTAGTTTTGTGCTGAGGATTTTTTTTTTTTAACTTCATGTGAATAATTAGATATTAGGTTGGAGGAACACCTGGGTGGCTCAGTGGTTAAGCATCTGCTTTTGGTTCAGGTTATGATCCCAAGGTCCTGGGATTGAGTCCCACATTGGGTTCCCTACAGGAAGTCTGCTCCTCTGTCAGCCTATGTCTCTGCCTCTCTCTCTGTGTCTCTCATTTTTTTTCTCTTAAAAAAAAAAAAGATATTAGTTTGGATTGTCATATATTTGTCATGTTTCTGAATGCTAACTTTAAAAGTTAGATGATGATGATTATTATTATTATTATTATTATTATTGAGGTAGATTTTAAAAAAGCTTATCTAGCCTAACAATTCAGTACTGAAAATTTATAAATCCCTTCAAATAAATTAGCTCTTAACTACTTATTCCATATATATCATTAGTGAACCAGTACTTATGAGTATGATACCATTAAACCTTCATTGCTTATGGGAGCTTCTTCCCAAAATGGCAGCCTTCTAAGCTTATGTTTTATTCTTGATTTTGTCCAGGAGATGTACGCGTAAGGAGTCGAGCAGGATTTGAATCAGAAAGAAGAGGTTCTCATCCGTATATTGATTTTCGTATTTTTCATGGTAAGTGTTGGCATATACAGTATTTCTCTTAGGCTTTTGGTAACCTTCAGATTTTTAGAAAAATACATAATTTTTCAAAGGAAAAAGAAAAAAGTTATGTTTGAAATGTTTTAAAGGGATCCCTGGGTGGCGCAGCGGTTTGGCGCCTGCCTTTGGCCCAGGGCGCGATCCTGGAGACCCGGGATCGAATCCCACGTCGGGCTCCCGGTGCATGGAGCCTGCTTCTCCCTCTGCCTGTGTCTCTGCCTCTCTCTCTCTCTCTGTATCATAAATAAATAAAAATTAAAAAAAAAAAAAAAGAAATGTTTTAAAAACATTGGGTCATGATAAATGACACATTATTTTAGATAATGTTAGTAAATGCTTAGAGGCAATTAGAATTGTAAAGTATAAAATATGAAAGCTGATATAATTTTTCTTCTCCTTTCCAATTGAAATGTGACATTACTTTGGTACATTTTTTCTCTTCCTGATACATATATGTGCAAAACGTTTAAAGTTGTTGTATTCCATGTGTTTTGTCTTCACTACTCTAGATAAAATGTTTTTGTGCAAATGACATAAGAGATTTTCATAGTTAAAAAGGTGTATCTTGGCTTATTTGAAAATATACCACCACCTTTAAAGATATTTCATAGAATGCATATTTTGAAAACAAACATTGTGTGGGTTTGGCCCATAAAGGAGAAAATGGGAAAAAGAGAACTTTGAAAACCCTTAAATAGTAAGCACATTACCTGTTTTTGGAGGAGCACCTCTTTTGGTAATGTTGGATAAATTATTTGGATTAACACTCCAGTTTAAAAAAACTAGAAAGACTGGACAAAATATGGAAAACATGTATTTGAGTATATCAAAATGCTGTTAAGGCAGAGATGAACCTGGCATTTGGGCTATTTTCCCCCTTAGTAGCATCTGCTGATTCTGGGAAAGGTGGATGAAAGCTGAGCAGAATTTCTGCTGGACACTTAAAATTAGAAAAACAAAAATAGCTGTTGATACCCCACCAAAGTTGGGGCACTGGTCCTGGTAAACCTTCTGTGCTCTAATTGGAACCCCAAAGTTCTTTACCTTAGGAAATCCTCGCTGTAAAACGTCTCAATCAGTGATTAGATCAAGATGATATGTACCTTCAGAACCTCTAGCGACCTACTTGAAGTAAATGTTAATCCTCTTTGAAGAAAGGTAGTAACATTACCCTAAGTCTCAAATTACCTCTAAATTTTTCATATGCATATTAAGCACTGAATTAAAAGTAAAAAAGGCGGGGAACCCGGGTGGCTCAGTGGTTTAGCGCACCACCTTTGGCCCAGGGCGTGATCCTGAAGACCCGGATCGAGTCCCATGTCGGGCTCCCTGCATGGGAGCCTGCTTCTCCCTCTGCCTGTGTCTCTGCCTCTCTCTCTTGCTGTGTGTCTCTCATGACTAAATAAATAAAATCTTTAAAAAATAAAAAAAAGGCAAAAGGAGATAAGATAGTGTGATCAAAAATGAAAAGGAAACAACAGTAGAAACAGCCACAACAAATTCTAATGATGGAATTATTTTACATGAGCTTCAGAATAACTTAACATAATTATGCGGATAGAGGAAAAAAGGATTGAAAATTTCAGTAGAGGACTGCAAATTGTAAAAAAAAAAAAATTTTTTTAAGTCCAATGAATACTTAAGACTAAAAATAACATACTTTAATAAGAACTCATTGGCGTTGGTTTTAACAGCAAATAAGACCAAAATACAGAGAGAATTAGTGGATTAGAACATTAGGTCAGAAGGAAACAATTTAGAATGAAACACAATGAAGCAAGAGGTAGAAAATACAGAAAAGACATGTGGAATGTGTTCCAGTTATCTATTGCTCTATATCTGTCAAGAATTGTGAAGAATCTAAGATTTTACGTATAAATTAACAAGTTAGTCTGTTACTGCATCTTGGATGCTGGCAGAAGAGAGAAAGCTCCTGGGAAAGACATAGAGGACTTTATTATTCATGGCACAGCCAGCAACTTGAACGTATATTGTGTCAGTTCTTCTAGCCCCACACATCCACAGTGGCAACGTAGAGGGTTTTATGTGGTTACTATGCACACAGTGGATTTGTGTTATATCAGGGAGCTTGGGGAACATACTGCTATTTGTTCCAGCAAAAGATGTACTTATCCCTCCAGGTTGCTAGCTGCAAACACAACCCTGAGAAATGGCCCAGGTAAGGATTGCTCGGGGCTTGGCATTCTTGGCACACCCAACCAGAACATGCAGGGACACTCAGGAGTGTCCATTTTGAAAGATTACCTCTTCCAATAGTGACAAATGACTCCAAAACATACTGGCATAAAATAACTTTTTTTTTATGTTCATGATTCTGAGGGTCAGGATTTAGTTAGTATATCAGGTTTGATTTGCCTGTGTCCCACAATGTTCTGATCTTCAACAGGGGTGGCTCCACTAGGTCCATATGTCTGGGGCCTTGCTTCTTCTCCACATGTCCTCCTCTGGAGCTGGAACATCTAAGATGACCTCTGCGCTCTTATATCTGGTGCCAGGGTAGGGTGGCTGGAATTTCTGGAGCTGGCCAACATTTTTCTTACCATAAATGGCAGTCTTAGGGTAGTTGGACTTCTTCCATGGCAGCTGCTGCCTTCCCCTAGAGCACGCATTCCAAGAGAGGAAGTATGGGAACACCTGGTCTCTGACGACGAGGGCATGGACACTGTCACAGCATCACATTTTCATATTCTGTTGATGAGCTGTGTCACATAGCTTGTCCAGATTCATGCAAGAGGACATTGATCCCACTTGTCAAAGGGAGTAAGGTAAAAAAAAAAAAAAAAAAATTAAATTTATTCATCAGAGAGACAGAGTGAGAGGCAGAGACATAGGCAGAGGGAGAAGCAGGCTCCCTGCAGGGAGCCTGATGTGGGACTTGATCCTAGGACCCCAGGATCATGACCTGAACCAAAGGCAGATGCTCAATAACTGAGTCACCCAGGCATGCCTGGTCAAAAAAATGTTTAGTCTTCTATCCTTAATCTGGCACAAAATGTGTTGAAAGTCATTAGGGTCCCAGGAAAGGAATGGGAAATTATAGTAGAAGTAGTCCTTGGAAAGATAATACCAAGATATCTCTAAAGCTTAATAAAGCACATTAAGGTACAGATTCAAGAAGCATTATGAATCTGAAGTACAGTAGCATTAAAAGAAAATCACAGTATATTAGCAATATAATAGAACTGAAAACTGAAATCAGACAGAAAGGATTTCACTCAGTTATGGACTTTAAGAAACAAAATAAATGAGGAAAGGAGTGGGGTAAAGGGAGTCCAACCAAGAAACAGACTCTTAATTCTGGAGAACAATCTGATGATTACCAGAGGGGGAAGGTGGGTGGGGAAATGGTGATGGGGATCAAGGTGGGCACTTACTGTGATGAGCACCAGGTGACGTATGGAAGTGTTGAATCACTATATTGTACACCTGAAACTAATATTATATGGTACGTTAATGAATTTAAGTAAAAACTTAAAAATATATGGGACATTCTAAACATGAGAATAAACTCTTTTCTAAAACGGAAAAGTAAAATAATTAATTTTAAAAAAAGTAGTGAGAAGAAAAAAAAGTAGTGAGAAAGAAAATTACCTTTAAAGAAACAGCTATAAGATTGCCAGAAACAGATTCTATTTTGTTTTCAACAGAAACTAAGAAGCTAGAAGACAAAGGGAAAGATAGCTTCAAAGTGATGGAAAAAAATAAATGTCAAACTAAAATTTCACCCATAACTCTTCTAGAGGAGAAAAGGAAAGGACTTCACAACTTACTGTGTAAAGCCAGCATAATCTTGATATAAAACTTGACAAGGATATGACAAGAATAGAAAATTATAGCCACTATCACTCACAAATATAGAGGAAACATCCTAAGTAACATACTATCAAATCTGCCATTTATAGGAAAAAATATATTTTGACCCAATTTCTGTTTTCCCAGAAATGTAAGATTGGCTTAACATTAAAAAACCAGTCATTGTAATTCACCATATTAATAGAAAAAGGAAAAAATAGAATAAAGGAGAAAAGTCATGGAAAGACCAATATATAAAGATACCGTTTATCACCTTTCTTATTCGGTACTTTTTTGGAGTTTCTAGCCAGTATAGTAATTCAAGGAAAAGAAACAGAAGATAAAAGGATTGGGAAAGAAGTGTCATTATATATGGATGATGTGATTGTGTACTAAGAAAACTATGAGGAGTAGCAAATGAATTTAGCAAGTTTGCTTGGTTTTATTTTCTATAAAGCAGAATTGACAGAAATAGAAATAACATAATTTAAATTTACATCAATGAAAGATGAAATACATAAGCATCAGTCTAATAAAAGATGTGTAGGACTCTGCATAGAAAACTGCATAGAGGAACACCTGAGTGGCTCAGTGGCCGAGTGTCTGCCATTGGCTCAGGTCGTGATCCTGGGGTCCCACATTGGGCTCCCCGTGGGGAGCCTGCTTCTCCCTCTGCCTATGTCTCTGTGTGTGTGTGTCTCATGCATAAATAAAGTCTTAAAAAAAAACTGCATAGAAGAAAAGATACTACAGAGGAAAAGAAGACCTAAACAAATGGGAATACATACTATTGTTCATAGATTGGAAGATTCAATATTTTAAAGATGTTAGTTTCTCTTGAATTGACCTATAGGTTTAATGAAATCACAAAAAAAGTCCAAGCATGTTTTTTTTTTTTTTCCCTTTGGTAGAATTGAGATGCTGATTGTAGAACCTATATAAAAATTGAAAAAGCCCAGGGGTTGCCTGGCTGGCTCAATGGAGCATGTGATCCTTGATCTCAAGGTTGTGAGTTCAATCTTTGTGTTGAGTGCAGAAATCACTTTAAAAAAAAACTAAAGGAAGAAAGAAAAGAACCCAAATTAGTCAAGACAATCAGAAAAATAGGAACCATATTATAGAAATTACTCTTCTCAGAGGTGCCTGGGTGGTTCATTTGG